ATAAGAATAGAGACCTAACCTCTCCAATAATCATTGTTGGTAAGTTGGGTTCTGGATCAGTTTGGTTGAATATGCATCCATATTATTAAACAAGAAAAAAAAAATACCAAAAGAAAGGTATAGTACTATAGTACTAATATTTTGGTAATTCTTCCTAGTTAATAATTTCTTGAAGTTTTCTAACACGCAGAAAGATAAGGTCATGGTTAAGTTTAAATCTTTCTTCTCTCTTCTTTTGTCTTCATTATGCACGATTGCATACACCAAAGTGTAGAACAATACACCCGAAACCTCATTTCATAACCGCTACATATGCAACATGAAATCTAACCAATTTAGCCAAAAGAGCCACAACACCTAATCCTTACCGGTGTCAATGATATGATCATACCATAATTATGCACAATCAGCATGCTACAACCCAAGCAATAATCACATGTCACAGCATACACACATTTTATTCTCATTAAATGTTAAGTTAGCTAGCCTTTATGGTAACATAGCTTCCTTGTATAGTAAAGTTTCTGAACTAGCTTTCTCATTTCGCCCAATCATCCATTCAAAAGCAGTCAGTTAAAAACCCTCTGCTTCATCGAGTCTCCCAATCTAAATCCAGTGCAACACAATCCCTTTTAGTCAAACAACAACCTTCATAGTATCTAAACCTAAAAACACTAATTAATGACTAAAGACCCTATCGAAACCCTGTGTAATTGTTTCTCTAAAATCCAGTTTCTGTTTGTTTCTTAGGAAAATTAAAGTTTTTCCTAGAAAATTAGGAACTTCAAGCTTGTGAATTCCCACGAACAAAAAATATAAAATAAAGAAATCAAACATCCGCATAGAAAAGTAAATACCCAGATAAAAAATAATCTAAAGGAAACAATTTTCACCATAGAATTTGGTAAAAAAATTAAAACATAATTCGTCCGATTCTCAACACGGATCTATTCATCAATTAATCAAATTTGATATAAAATTTGCACTTCAAAGTGACTAACAAGTCATACCGAAAAATCCAAATTGCAGGTCGGGTCAGGCGTTGGACCCAAGCGAACAACATTGATTTGTGTACGGATAATTGGATATTCCCATTTATTATTGAGTTATTAACATTTTCATCCTGAGGTTTAATCAAAATACATTTGGTCCACTAAAATCTGGAAAGGTTGTTATAGTCCGTGTCAGACTCCGGCAAATTAGGTAAAAAAAAAAGGGGTATAGTTGTCATTTCGTATTTTAAGCTCTTTTTAAGTATAGATAAAATGTTGAAATTTAAAAAAATCTTTGTTATATTTTATAGATTTGACTTGATTTATTTTTGTATGTTAAAGTCTTTTTCGGTAAATTAATATTAAATAGCTTTTGTACTTTTTTCTAACCAAACAACTAACAACTTTTTCATATAAGTTATATTTTCATAAACTCCATAGTCCACTCTAATAAACTTTCTTCTATAAGCTTTATTCGAGTAAGTCATACCAAACAGACCATAAAATTCGGGTAAGCATGGGTAAGGGTAGGACCAGAACCGATAAGTACCCACCTATCGATTCTAAGTAGGAACCGAAATCGACTCTATTAGGGTCTGGTTCTATTTCTAGAAAATTGAAACCAGGAGTTCTTGGGTTCAGTTTTTGTTCCTACAGTGATGAAACCAGGAATTAAAATCGAAACCGAAACCGAGGTTTGAATACCTAGATAGGAACCGGGACTAAATTATAATTTTTGTAAATTATTGGTGTGTATTGTAATTTTTTGGATGTATTTGTCATTTTTTTTAAAATAGGGGTAATTTCAAATTTTGGAGCCGACCGATTCCATTTCCTTAAAAAAATACAGGATACTCCAAACGATCACTAATATTCTTTGTTTGCTATTGTGAGATTAAAATTTTTGGATGGTGGTTGCTATTGATATGAAGAATTTTGACTTTTTAGAGATTCTATTTGATGTTTTATGGTGATTGGGATGGTGGTTACGTGGTGGCTAGATAACCAAAATTTGGCACACGATGTAGCCATACTTGGGTGGCCATCAAAGCCGCGGCGACACTGCGACCATTTTTCACACGCAACTTGGTTAAAAAATTGTAGTAAAATAATAGGGTTTTTTTTTTTTTGGTAATTTAAAATAACAGTGTAATTACAGGACCCCCCTGAGGTTTCAATGATTAACAGACGCATATAAAAGATAACACATAACCGCACATCATTAGCTCCTGTTATAACACTATCGATGGAAAAAGGTTATTTAAGCAAATTCAGTATTTGAAATAGTAGATTATCTTTTATCTTTAAAATTTTGAAACTAAATTTTTTTTTTTATATTCTTAAACTTTTAATATTATCATTTGAACCATTAAAAAGGCTTAACACCACCGTTATATGGGGTTGGGTGAGGTGAGGTTGAGGAGAAGAAAGTGTGATAAGAGTGTGACGGATGGTCTTGCAACGAGGAGAGAAATTAGGGGTGGTTTGTGGTGTCGCCATGATCGCAAAGAGGTGACAAAGTTCCACGATGGGGAGGAGAAAATAAAGCGATGGGGTTGTGTTTTATTAATTATTATTTTTAATGTTTATTTAACTTTCAAATTTAAGGGTAAAATAGTCTTTATATAGACAAAAACTCTACTCTGTTAAATCTGTCCTAACTGTTGTTAATTGTTGGCACTTCTCTGTTACCCTAATTATCTTCTCAAGCCCCTTGTAAAAAGGTAAACCTCAGGGGATATGTGATAATTAACTCAAAATAACATTCAAGCCTACGTTTTATTTATACATATATTTTTTTAATAATTTTAATTTGTTAATGTATCAATCTTGAATAAATTATTATTAAGATATAGATAAAGTTTTAAAAATTTTAAATGTTGAATTGAGAAAATATAGCATCCAAGATTTGGATTAAACATTAAAATTTAATAAATTAGAATTTAAATAAATTTTTTTAAATATTAATAATTATATGTATATTACAAAAAAAAATATTGTTTGTTACATTAAAGGTTTAAGATGAAATAAAATATTTACTTAAAATTGTTTGGGAGAATGATTTATGCTTTAGAGTTATTACCACATCTTTTTACTTGCGAATACATTACTCGCTAGCATGGACATGTTCTTGTTGAAACCAAAATATTTATAGTTTCTCAAGCATGTTTGGAGTTTTTTGGCACGAAACTTTTTGTATTTCCGTATTATCATTCTCATGATTATTTCCTTTCTTTTCTTGTGTAATTGTAGCAATGATTTCTTCTTCAACTAAAGTATACATGATTTGTTGCTTATTTGAATTATTAAGGAAGACATTAATATCCATTCGATTAGTGTAGTAAAGTTGTCAAATCTGATCACTCAATTCTACAATAACTCTTTCATTTTTCTCATCCACTTTATTTATAACTTGCAATTCATCGACATCAAGGGTCCTAATTTTGTAATGCTTAAAAGAATTAGCAATTATCTATAACTTCACATCAGTTTAACCATACAACAACTGTATTTACAATTCCATCAAGGACACTTATCTTTGCTGATTCTAAGATACGAACTTCTATTCGCTTAAAAAGTAGGCAATTGAAACGCTGAATTGAAAACATAATACTATTAAAACATGAATTGAAATCCTAATACTGTACTATTAAAACATGAATTATAAAATAAATTTTTTTTTGTAATTACACTCTTATTAAATTATAACCTTCTCATAATAATAAAATTAATTAGTCACACCATTATGACTATAGAAAGGTTTTACTGTACAATTTTAGTTTCAAACTCATAAATGTTGCTGCTAGAAAGGAGAGCAGATGGAGTGATCGTGATCCTCCATTGAAAAAGAAATTGAAGTAAATGGATCTCTGGATGTTCAAAAGAATGCACTTAATGATGAGACCACATAATTCTAGAACAGTAACTCCGGTCACGATCAAGATGGTGATAAATCAACATCTGGTTTACAACATTAGTTTCCAAGAAAGTTTATTCTTGTTCTTGAGATTGTTATTAATTGTTTGCCTCTAGTTAATTGCTTTCGAAAAGATTCGGGGAAAACATATTGATTTCGCTGTTTAGAATTTGATTTAAGTTTGCATTTATATTGTTGTTCTCTCAACATCTCCACCTTGAGATGAGTAGGCTTTAGCAAGTTTTGCTGCTGTTGGAGGTCAGTAATTTGTGATTGCGACTCCTCCATGGAATGCTGAGGAATTTGCCCTTGCTGCAGTGAGAAAACAAGCTTCTCATCCGAACCCAGCTTTTCTTTATTATTAGGTGAGATATCGTCTTTGGTGACCTTAACATTATCACCTTCTCAATCTGCTCGGACGTCGAATTTTGCGGAAGAGAATCATGCTGATAAGCAAAGAGAACAGTTTACATAATAAGTACCTGAATTCCTGAATTCTTAATAATTAGGAACAATGTTGGTAGAAAGTTGAGGTGGAGGGGAGAGTCTCAGTAGATATGTGCTGATAAAAATGGGCCAGATAAATTTGATTAGAACATGACAGCTTGAGATCTATGTCATGTCCCGGAAGATGATCAAACAAAGTTTTCTACAATAAACATTATCGAAAACTAAAGCAACCAAATACCTTTCTTCTGTCCTTAAAAACATTTTTATCTACCATAATCCACCGTTAAAAGATAGATTTAAAAGTGTTTTTGCATACTTTAAATCGGACTTTTTGATTACCTAAAACTTAAAAAGTACTCCTCATAGTGCCAAAAGCACTTCCAAAAACCTACTTGACCGAATAAAAGTTCTGAAATCCATGCACCATATGATAATTAAAGTACAAATTCTGCATGATATGATTATTAAAGTAAAACTTCTGCAATCCATAAAACATTTAACAATTCAAAGCACTCTCAAATACACTTTATGATAAGTTAAAACTTTTTGCAGTCTATAGCCATACAACAACTCAGTTGACAATCTTAAGATTTTAAAAGTCTTATATCACATTTTTTAGTTTCAGCTTTGAAACTCAGAATCATGATATCAAAACTATTTCGGGCTACAAGTCTATATATGTAGTAAATTTATAATGCTTCTCAAGGCTTTCAACATAGTCATAATAATTCCCAGCTAAACAAAGTGTTTCCAACTCTTAATGTTGCTGAAGACCACACACTCAGGCTGGCAAAAACCAATAGAAAACTTAATGAGAGAATGTATTAGCAGATAAAAGTGAAAACATAGTGGCAGCAACATGTTAAGTAAAAATATCACATAATACTTACAAATACAGAAAACAAATCACAGGCAAGTACGTAATTCATTCGATGTAAATGAAAAAAAGAGTACAATGAAATAAGGTTCACCAGAAAACAACTAATACAGAAAAGATTAGAGCATCCACTTCTCCTGTAACAAATAAATGAACAAAAAGAGAGCATTTATGATCTCTTCCAACAAGACAGAGGTGAAAAAGCAATTCATTGATTTTCATAATCAGCTATGTATATAAAAATCCAAGACACTTAACCAGATAAATTACATGACAATTCAGTTAAGAATCTCCGGATTTTCAGAAGGCTCACGATTCTTTAGTTTAATCTTTGAAACATAAATCATGATATTGAAACAACGTATAGCTACAAATATATAGATGTAGTAAATCTATAATGCTTCTCCAGGCCCTTAAAAGAGTCTTAATAATTTTCAGATTATCAAATTGTTCTGACTATTAATGTGGTTGAAGAGCACATTCAGGCAGGAAAAAGAACCAATAGAACACATAACAAGAGAATGTATTAAGGGATACAGGTGAAAATATAATTGCAGCAAAATGTGAAGTGAAAATATCAATATCATATAATGATTACAAGTGCAGGATCAATTATGACAATTTTTGGACTATTAGCTCGATCCACTAATCCAATGCCTAGGTTTTAGAAAGTTAATAGTATTTCATACCTCATGTCCATGTCAAAAACACAAAAACCTATATCAATGTCATAAATCAAACATCATATTCTTCTTCAGAATAATATAATTGAGAATTATTCATCGAAAAAAGGTGGTTTGAATAGTGTTTTAACTAGAGAAAATTTCATTCCCGTTTGTTTTCCCTTCATCAAATTCATAAGTCCTTGTCTTGGTGAATTTTTAACTTCTTTGGTGGTAATTAATATCACCGAATTGGAAGAAAAAATTGTGCTTCATGTCTCACAAATAGAAGTCAATATTGGAAGAAAAAATATGGGTGTAATTTACGAGGGAAAAAGACAAGCCATCCACCCAAGCTCTCAAGTCATTTTAGAAACCGTTTTCAGAGAGCTACATTAAGGGAGTGAGATTTTGAGTGTGTGAGATATTGGGTGTATTTGGGATTTGAGTTTGAGAGTTTTTCCACCAAAATTTGTGTACTCCATTTTCTTAGTGAAATTCTTCCTTTATCTTCACCCTTGGATGTAGGCTAAAAAGCCGAACCACGTGAATTATTGTGTTTTGTATGTTATTAATTATCCTTATTTGTTTTGCCCTTAATTATTATCCTTAGTGTTGGGACCATCACAACAATTCATTCATTCGGGTAAGGGTATGAATAAAGATAAAATAGTACATGCCAAAAAGCATAATGGGATGGGTTAAATTGCAACTGAAGATACAATAAATGCATCACATGACGTAAAATGTTCTTTCATGAATTACCTTGTAAGTTCATTGATTGTATCTCTGGGTTCATTTGATTGTCATGGGGCTGAACTTGAGTAAGTTGTGACTGTGGCTGCTGCGTGGAATGCATATGAGGTGGGGGAAGTTGCCCTGGCTGCAGTGAAGAAACAGGCTTCCTGGGCCTATATGTATTTATAAAATTGATAATCTGCTTCTCGTAGGAACCCAGCTTTTCCCTAAAATTAGGTGAGATATTACTTTTGGACACCTGTAAGAATGTTATAATACGCTCCAACACGGTCTTAAAAATTTCAGCTTCTCAGCCTTCACCCTTAGTTGTTGAGGATGAGAATCATGCTGGCAGGTAGATAGTACAGTTTACACAGTAAGAACCCCAACTCTATACGGATAAAATAACAAGTTAAAAATATTTAAGCAAAAATGTCGGTAAAAAATTCCTTTTTTTTTCTTTTTTTTTTTAAATGTGTGTTTCTCAAGAGAGCGAGGTGGAGGTGAGAGGTTGGTTGATATGAGCAAAAGATCTTCTGATGAAAACAGGCCAGAAAAATTTAATTAGCATATAACAGCTAAAATGTAAGCTACTGCCTCCAGAGCTAAGATGAAATCCTAGTTAATAAATAAGGCGAGGCATCAAGGAAATATACAAAACAGTGACTTACCTGTTGCAGTTTAGCAGATATTTTCTGATACATTTCGTTTAATTCAGTAAATACATCTCTTTCATGGCTTTAATCTGCAAATAAATTTTTTTGCAATGTCATCTTAAATTCTTCAACTTGTCACTATGGTATGTTCATAGTTTCTAATTGGTTATTCCCTGTTGTTCCAGCAACTACAATCATTCTTAAGGGACTGTAGTTTTTTCCAAATCAAAATTTACCCCTCAAACCATGACCGCACCTTCAAAATATATATATTGTTTTACCAAGATTTAAGTAAACTTCATCTAAGGGGCATAACGAAATACCTTTTGATAGACCTCTCTTCCAATCACCCCTCTTTGATTGTCCTTATGGCTGTGCAATCTAGAGATGCTAACATTATTAAACTTGTTGCATGTAATTCGCCAGGAAATTGTTAAAAAGAAAATAACTGAGACAAACATGAGTCAGACTCGGACACCATTGCCTAGCAAAAAGAAATTATACATGTGTGATTCAGTTAAAAGATCAGAAAGTAATCCAAATGAAAAGACATTTCATGCAATAAATCTAAGTTCAATAGTCATAGGTAAATGGGATCATATCATGCAAGTTTTGACAGAGGAATTGACAGCAACACAAAAAGAAAAATCACAGGCAAACAAGTAATTCATATGATAAATAATGAACCAAGGAGCATAATGAAATAGGGCTACCAGAAAAACATCAGTAAATATATATATATATATATAAAATAATAATAATTAATAAAAAGACAACATTTGTGCACTCTTCCAACAGGATAAAGATGACAAGAAAAATTTCATTGCTTTTCACATCAACCAATGCATGTCAAAATTCCTCAGCACTTCATAAGATAAATTACATACAATTTAGTTAATAATCTTAAGATTTTCAAAGTCTCTGGATCATATTTGTTTACTTATCTACTTTGAGGTTTGAAATGCAAATCATGATGGTGAAACTGTATAGATACAAGTATATATATGTGTGAAGCTATAATGCTTTGCAAGGCCCTCTAGAAATTCTAAATAGTTTCCAGTTTACAAACTATTCTGAATCTTAATGTTAGGGAAGAGCACATTCAAGTTGCAGAAAAAAGAAAAAAAACAAAAAAAAAAAATAGAAATCATAACAATAGATGGTATTATTGGATAAAAGTGAATATACAATTGCAGCTAAACGTAAAGAGAAATATCACATATACTTTCAAGTAAAGCTACCATAAATCAAATACAAAACGTAAAATGTTCTCTCAGTCATTACCTGGACCAGGGAGTCTGTTGCTATTGCCAGTATTGCTGGATTGTAAAAAAATAGCTGCTGCATTTTGAGACCTCAACTCCTTGTAAGCCCGTTTAGAGATCTTTTCTGTAGATAATCCAAATGAAATTTGAGATCAATCTAAATTTTATATCTCAGAGTACTCTGTTTACCAAACTAAAAATGTAAGTAAAAAAAAAAAAAAATGATTTGTTGTTCCTGCTGTTGTTGATATGCTGGCATTGCCAGCAATATATTTGGTCTCTGGAGGACAATGAGGAATGTACTATTTGGCCTTATCTGCCTTTACCTCAACTTTTGTTGCCAGTTGTATCTAGCCCTCACAGCTTAAAAGTAAATCATCAAATATTGACAGAATAAGTTCTTGAACTGTTGTTATCTGCCTGACAACTTTCACCCTATATCCCTTGTTATTAAATACTTGTGAGAAACATGGTTTTTCCAATTTTACGTGCCACAAAAGGTAGGGCAGTACCTGACTTGTATACCATTTGAAAAGGCAAAAACACTAAAGGATTAACGAAACTAACAGGCCATTTCTTGAAGAATAACTAGACGTTTATGGATAAAATAATTAAGATACAAGACTAATGATGTCTCTTGTGCTCAAAAGACTCCTTTTTGTACTGGACAGTAAAGCTTAAGACATAGAGGAAACAAACTAATGAGAAAGAATGTCCTAGTTTATAACAGTAATCTCACTAACATAAAGTAAACTAGATAAAATAGGATTCTGAATCTCCATGGAAACCCCCTACATCAATAGCATACACAAAGTACATGTAATCTAATGATTTTGGAAGCCTTTCAGCTGTGATGCTATATGATCCAAGTAGTTATCATATCACAGCTATACTTACCACCTGTCTTTCCTGCAAAAATTTACAGTTAACAGGGCATATTGATCTTTCTCAATACAAAAAATTCTCATCTAAGAGCCTGGAAGTCATTTGCTCATTTATTTATTTTCCTTTTCTCAAACTTCAATTCAATGAAATCCATCTTGATCATAACAACATTCATAGTATCTAATCTCAGAGCACTCGCAGCTAGAGGCCCTTACATAAATTATAAATCCTATATGTTGTTTCCTGCATAACTTCATCCGGTTACGGTTCTTCAGGTAATCATAGTAAAAAAGAATAACAAAAGTGAATCTGTTTGTTTCATTGGAAATGTTCTGGAGAAAAATAAGAACTTCAATCCTGTATACACAACAATATCTGAAACACCCACAAACAAAAATATCTGAAGCACCAACAAACAAGAATATCTGAAGCACCCACAAACAAGAATATCTGAAGCACCCACATAAAACAAGGAATACCCAGATAAAAAAATTAACAGGGAAAAGTTTGTAAAGGCAAATTTGCCTTTAAAAAAGAAACGAAAAGAAGAGAAAAAATCAATCTAGACTACCTGGTCATGGTGTGCGGTAGGGGGCGTTCGTTTGATAATTTTCTTTGAATTCTCATTGAAAGAGAAAGGCTTTCCAGATTTTCCCGTCATTGATTGCTTGTTTTCTCTCGTGAGAAAGTGAAGCAGTGAAGAAACAAAGTTTTCAGGTGGCGTTTATTCCAAGCCAATATTAATTTATTGTATGAAGGAATGAGATATTATTATTCAGAGAATTCTTTTATCTGTATTTGAGAATTTAGTTAAAATAGCTCAGTCATTACAAAAGTATAAAATTTAACAAAATATCTCAAGTCACTCAAGATAACTATCGACCACCAGCCACCACCGCCAACCGCTGTCAACAGTCATCGGAACGATATATGATCAGTTGGATGTGGTTTGTTGTATGCGGATTTGACATTTTCTTACCAGATCCATGGCTGGATACAATGGCCAAATCCATGGTCGTTTTTAACCGTTTATTTTTTACCAGCCATGGATCTAGCTAGAAATAAATGGCTAGATCGATATATAGTTGGCCATAGCTGATTGATTATGAGTTATTCTAAAGACTACCGACGACAATCAGCAATGGTGGTCGATAGCCAACAACTGTCTTGGGTGGTTGAGGGTATTTTAGGTATTCTTCATGTAAATAGTGAGAGATATTTCTTTTCAAAAAATTAAATTACGAAGTTACAAAAGTCATTTTTGCACATTTGAGCTAATTATTATTTGATAGATATATAAAGACATTTGTGTATAAAATATTTATTAATTAAAGGCAAAATTAACATGAATAATGGATTATTCCAATAATAAAAAAATAACTCCCTTTCATTCGGATAAGGATTATATTTCTGCTTTTGAGACAATTACATTTTCATCTTTATAGTTTTGGTTGACTTCGCTTGAGGACATTTATTTCATATACAAACATTTTGATCCTTTGACTAAACACACTGTTAGTAGAGTGTTAATTGAATTAAAAAGTATACTGAAATGACAAAAATATCATTCTAAAAATAATGAATAATGATTGGTGCGTAATGTATGGTGTTTGTGTCATGCATTTTCCTTATTCTATTCAGAGCTATTTTCATCATTTTAGTATAATTCTCAAGTCAATTAACACTAATCTACGGTCAACAAAGCTCTATCAAGTCAAAGGACTAAAATAGTAGTAATTGAAAATTTGAAATAAACAAACTAATGAATAGATCAAAACTATAAGGACGAAAATGTAATTCTCTCCTCGTGCTTTTAGGTAAAAGAATTCGACTACATGTTAATGACCAAGATGCTTTTCATTTGCCAACTCATTATTAAATTACTAAAAATAATATCTATAAAATTGTACAAATTTAATTGTACAAATTATTAAATTTAACAATTTTATTACAACGTTCATTGTGCTTACTTCAACAAGAAGAAACTTATCAGTCTCCTTTCTCTTAATGAAAATTGAAAACGTATTTGTGTCTAAACTATTACCTTTAATTCATGCTCTCATATCACTCTTCAAAACTGCCATTGACAACTTTTGTAAGATAAAACCGTGTATAATGAAGAAAGGAGTAGACTTTGTGATCGTTTTTTAGGGATTCAAATGGTTTAGCATGCAAGAACCAAAATTATGATTTTTAAACTTAGTTTTGAAATTTTGAAACTTTGGTTTATGATGTTCAAAATACAATAGAGACTTAATTTTTTGCTTAAACTCTAGCAATATTCAAGCATTCATGCACTGGAACAATTGCTCGAACACATAACAAAACAAGTTATAGGTTTCAATTCTATGTTTAACGCAACATACAGATACATATCATATATTTTGTGTACTCACTAGAAAAGAATTTTAGAAAGCATAAAACAAGTTTAAAAAAATATTTACTAGTGATTATCTTGAAAGCAAATCAGTAATCCGAATACTTTCTATGGCCTAATCCCTTCTTAATCGTTGACTATAAAGAACTCTTATCAAGTCCTACACTTCCCTTTCACATAAAATCTCACTCATAAAGAGTCTTATAAGCATTGCCAATGTATCAGGGGAAAACACACCTAACATCTCAACTGTCACACACCCCACATGAATGCTTCGCAAAACCCCTCAATCTCATACGCTCTCCACACGTACTATTCTTATCACAATGTTGCCGAAATAAGGTTGTGACATTCTCTCACACCCATGTGTATGCATGTTAGGATCCCACATTGAAAGGGAAAAGGGTGGGCATGTGGGTTATAAGGGCTTAGACACCCTCTTTTGGCAAACCGGTTTTTCAAAGAGAGTTCTACCCAAGCCCATAAAAAACTTATGACCCAGTCCAAATTGTTGAGTTATTGGAGTGGATTCCCACAGATAAGGAGAAGAATAGTGTGAAGGGGAGGTCGTTGGCCCTCGAAGTTTAGCAGGCTACGTTATTCGATGTTAACTTGTTTTTGGTTATTTCTTTACTTGTTCAAATTGATTGGGTTGAGGTTATCTTGAGTTAGTGTAATGTTCTTCATCTCAATACATATATATAATTTCTGATATTTCCTTGAGTTGTTTATGGGTTGATTCATTGTGATTGCCATGAGTGGTGTGTTGAGTGAATGAATTTGGATAGGTATCCATCAAATTAGTATCAGAGCAGGTTGTTTGGGTAATGGTTGCAACGAGAATTGAGTCAAGATTAGAAAACGTGGAAAAAGAGGTGGCGAAATTGGGAGTTGACATGGGAACTATTCGTGAGTGCATGGTTGAAATACAAACATGGATGAGGAGAAGAGACGAAGAAGAAGCTGGACAAAGAGAACAAATTCGTTAAGGAATGTGAGAAATCATGAAGGGGAGAACCAAAACGGAGTTAGTGGATCGAGTAATCATGATGGGGAAAACCCAAACAGAGCTAGTGGATCAGGTAAATTTGGGCAGTATTAGAGTGAGGTGGGAGGACGCAGAATGAAGTTAAATTTTCTCTGGCAAAGATCCTTATGGTTGGATTTTCATAGTCGAACGATATTTCAATCTTAATGGGATTTCTGATGAAGGGAAGATGACGGCGACAACAATTTGTATGGAGGGGAAAGCTATCAATTAGTATCAGAGCATGATCCTGCGTACGCATGACAGGTTGACCTTGGGCCCGGGCTGCTACCCCAAGGAAAGGGGATCCGTGAAGTCACCCAAGGGGTAAAGAGGCCGACGTGGAGCCCATGCAATAGGGCCTATTGGGCCCCCCAAGGGGTCGAGAATGAGAGTTGCTGGCAAGTTTCTAGGGCCTGACAAGCTTTTAGGGCCTGACAAGCTTTTAGGTGAAGTAAGACCTAAAGGGAGGGCAGTAAAGGCTGATGAGGGTGTGGTAGCCGATAAGGGAGGGCGTTCTCTGGAAAGAAGACCAACGAGGGCGTTGGGTCTCGAAGCGTGGGGAAATGTTTGAATCCCACATTGAAAGGGAAAATGGTGGCATGTGGGTTATAAAGGCTTGACCACCCTCCCTTGGCAAGTCGATTTTCCAAGGAGAGTTCTATCCAAGCCCATGAAAGACCCATGACCCAACCCAAATTGTTGAGTTATTGGAGTGGGTTTTATAGCCGATGGGGGCGGGTGCTCTTTGGAAAGAAGACCAACGAGGGCGTTGGGTCTCGAAGCGTGGGGGAATGTTAGAATCCTACATTGAAAGGGAAAAGGGTGGGCATGTGGGTTATAAAAGTTTGGGCACCCTCCCTTGGCAAGCCGGTTTTCTAAGGAGAGTTTTACGCAAGCCCATGAAAAACCCATGACCCAACCCAAATTGTCAAGTTATTGGAGTGGGTTCCTATTAATTGGTATCAGAGCATGATCCTACGCACACATGGCAGGCTGACCTTGGGCCCGGACTGCTACCCTAAGGAAAGGGGATCTGTGAAGTCACCCAAGGAGTAAAGAGGCCGACGTGGAGCCTACGCAGCATGGCCCAGTGGTCCCCCTGAGGGGTCGAGAAGGAGAGCTGTTGACAGACTTCTAGGGCCTGACAAGCTTCTAGGCGAAGTAAGACCCAAAGGGAGGGCAGTAAAGGCCGATGAGGGCGAGCACTCTCTGGAAAGAAGACCAACGAGGGTGTTGGGTCTCGAAATGTGGAGGAATGTTAAGATCCCACATTGAAAGGGAAAAGGGTGGGCATGTGAGTTATAAAGGCTTGGACACCCTCTCTTGACAAGCCGGTTTTCCAAGGAGAGTTTTACCCAAGCTTATGAAAAACTTATGGCCCAACCCAAATTGTTGAGTTATTAGAGTGAGTTCCTATCACTGCACACTCATGTATATCATTATTGCAAACGCCTGATAGATAGTCATCCAAGTTTTCAACTCGTAACCATTGTTTTAAAAACCAGACCGGCAGGCAACCCGCTTTGATGGCTGGGTCACGGTTCAACCAGTCCAACCGTCGGTTGGACCAGTGATGTCATCACACATCATGATGACATCAGCACATTTTTTTAAAATTTTTTTTTTTTTTTTAGATTTCTATTTTTTAATAAGACAATAACAACTTAATTACTGTCCAATCCAATATAATTCAAAGTTTAAATCAACAACAATCCTAGCATAATTTAAGTATTTAACAACAATTCAAAGTCTAAATCCAAACATGATGTTGTATTTACATATTAAATGTCAAAATACATACTAATTAATAACAAAACATCTTATGCAAGTGTTTTTTCTTTGATCCGTCTCCATGTTGATTGAGTTTCACGCATTAGCATCAAAATTCATCACCATCATCATCATCATCATCATCATCATCATAACCATCACCACCATTATTGGATACGAGCTTTTGCATTAGATGATAAATTATAATTATAGAATGAAACATTACAGTCATAATATTGAATATAAAATTTAGTATATGTTATAAAAATATCAAAGAGAAATACTATTGATGGGAATACGCAATGGACAATAATAAAAATAATAATTGAGACAAGGAAAGCATAGACACAAAGCAACTTGCAAATTGTTTCCTATGTTATTGGTGAAAGCACTTGCAAGCATGAAGAATTGCATGAAATGGGCAATTCAAACATAGAAAATGACGCAAGCCACCAAAAACTTGGACAATATTAATGACATGTTCCAAGGGATCATCAAAGATCCTTTTATTTAAGTCTTATAGATTTGTTTAATATTTAATCCATCTTATAAAAATATAATGAAAACACCCCATATTCATAGTGTTCTATTTTTTTTTTTTTTTTTTTAAATATATCAAATAAGATGAGCATCGAATATGCTCTTCTTCACCACCTTTTCCCAAACTTCTTTTGCTTCTTTACCCCCTTTCAAGCATAGTTGTTTCTCTCTTCAATAGTAATACCAAGTAGCATATCCTTATTAGTTTCATTGTCATATTATGATTTTATGCATAATTAGCCTCAACATGAAAACATTTTTCCAACTTCATTCCCTTAACCCTAATTTTACCATATGATCAACCTGTTTGCCAATATACTTATAAAAAGAAACGCCATGAAATCAGGGAAGGAGCTAAAATTGTAACAAACTATGAACTATTTTGGATTCAAAACCACCTCCTACGTAAAGGTACAACAGCAAGAACTTAATCTAGAAATCAGAATATCTACATTAGTTGACATATCCTACCTGGTGGTTGTCGAAACTAAAGCTTGGGATAAGTACTTTCAAGTTTCAACAACACCAGAAATTACTCATTTTCCACCCACCTAAATTTTTTAGTTGTTTCTTCCCTCTGGTTTGACAAAATTGGAACTACTATAATGCCAAAGAATCGGACCACAAATGAATATCAAATGCACTCCTGAGCACAATCCAAGAATCCACAATATGAAGCATATCAATGAAACTTAGAAAACTTTATTTTCCTAGAGTGGCCCGCAATGATATTTGCATCGTGTGAAGATGTTTGATAAGCACCTCTGCTCCAAAACTACTTCACTCTGCTACAGCCAAGGTGAATTCTTGGTTTAGGGCATAGTCAGACGGAAATAAAGCTTCCAAGATCAAGAAAATAATGTGCTTTTTTTGTGCAAATATAATTGAATCAAAGCAAAACCATCCTCAAGATCATGTTAATACAACCACAACAGCTCTATAGATTTCTAGCGAAATGAACAGGGTGTTAACTTAAATGTAAAGGGAGCGAGGAATGGCGTTACCTGGATCGACGAATGGAGCTGTCGCCGTCGATTTCCAGCGAGGGAGGAAGACGTCGTCATTGATTTCCGGCGAGTTCAGATGCGATTTGGGTGGGATTTTAGAGAGAACAGAAGACAGCCGAAACCGTGAGAGTTTTTGTGAGAAAAACTGAAAGAGAAGAAGATGAGAAGGGGCTGCGACGCTGCGTGACAGAGAAAAAGAGAAGAAAGACTACGACAATGCGTGACAGAAAAGAAGAGAAGAATGGGCAGCGTGAGAGAAGACGATGGTTGCGTATTAGGGATTAAAATTGTGGACCGATTTTTTCGCCGGTCCAAGATTCACTTATATTATCCGATTTTCAACCAGTTTAAAACAGCTTAATACATATTAACGGGTTTGAGGGTAACCCGAACCGGACACGTGACCGATTCACGGTCCAACCGATTGGATCGATCGGTCCAGTCCGGCTTTTAAAACAGTGCTCGTAACACAACCCAATATCTTAAGGGACACCAATTACCTTTAGGCACAACTCTGTTATCATGTCAATCCGTTATGACACCTCAGAAGATGACCAAACAAAGTTTTCTTCAATTCACATTATCGAAAACTAAAAGCAACCAAATACCTTTCTTCTATCCTTAAAAACATTTTTATCTACCACAATCTACCTTTAAAAGACGGATTAAAAAAGGTTTTGACTGTTTAAAAGTGTTTTTGGTTATTTTAAATCGACTTTTTTATTACCTAAAAGTACTTTTCATAGTGCCAAAAGCACTGCCAAAAACCTACTTGACCGAATAAAAGTTCTGAAATCCATGCATCATATGATAATTAAAGTATAACCACTACATGATATGATAATTAAAGTACAACTTCTGCAATCCATACAATTCAAAGCACTCTCACATACACTTTTATGATAAGTTAAAGCTTTTTGCAGTCTATAATCATACAACAATTCGGTTAACAATCTTCAGATTTTAAAAGTCTTAGGATCATATGTATTTACATTATTTAGTTTGAGCTTTGAAACTCATAATCATGATATCGAAACTATTTAGGGCTACAAGTCTATATATGTAGTAAATCTGTAATGCTTGTCGAGGCCTCCAACATAGTCTTAATAATTCCCAGCTAAACAAAGTGTTTCCAACTCTTAATGTTGCTGAAGACCACACCCTCAGGCTGGCAAAGACCAATAAAAAACGTAATGAGAGAATTATTTAGCAGATAAAAGTGAAAACATATAGTGGCAGCAAAATGTTAAGTGAAAATATCACATAATACTTACAAATACAGGATCAATGACGCCTCTTTTTTCAAAAAGAGATCATGACACGATTTGTGGACTATTAGATTGGTTCAATTTGAATATTTGAACACTAGTCTTCCAAAGTTCAATATTTATGTGTCAGATGTGAATTTTAACCATCAAAGTGTACTAATCCCACCTCTACTAAAGATGTACACAATATACACATATATAGGAACCAGCCCTATCCTTAGTTTTAAAGTTACATTGTTTAACACCTTGTGTTGATGTCAAAAACATGAAAACTTAAATAATGTCACAAATCATGGATTATATCTCTAAAGGTAACATATTGTATTGCCAAAAAGCAGAATGGGATGGGTTAAAAATCGCAAGTGAATCTATAAATTAAACATACACATTGCCAAATCCAGGCTCCCAAGATTTTTGGCACTGCTTGACGCATGACACCCAGTGTTAGGGATGGGAAAAACCGGTTACCGAACTGGTTTGGGCATTTTCCAAACAGAACCGGAAAAACGGTTCAAGTAGAAATCCAAACCAAAGCGAACCGAATTACTGCTTGAACCGGTTCTAACTGAACCGATAACGGGTTCGGTTTTCGGATTTGTTTTCCCACCCTAGCCTGTGTCCTTCTCAAAACACAAAGCTTGTAATCAATTCCAAAAGCTGTAGATTATAATTGGATTACTATAATTGAGATGATAATTCATGACATGTTTGAATAGATTTAACCAACACTACCACCCAAAAGCATGATGGGATAGACCAAGTTGCAGTGAAGTTTTCTGTGCCTTAAGAGAAGAATTCTCATGAAGTTATTACCTTGATCCAGCGGTTTGTCCTATTAGCACGGTATTGGATGGCAAAGAATTAGGCATAGGATTTTGATATTTTGACTCTATCGAAGAATCTTCAAACATATTCTCCGCAAATAATCTGACTGAAATTTGAAATAAATATAATTTCAAATCTCATAGTACTTTAAGTTCAAAAATCTTTCACACCGCACCAAAAAAAGACCCAATGTGCGAATATGCTTTAAACATAAACAAAGAAATAAATAAATCAAAGAAATGATCTAAAAGCTAACAAATATAAGGACAGAGGCTCAATATGGTTAAAATCTTCCTTGGAAGCTCCATGCTATGATGCAGGCAAAAGATACCAAATAACTTAATGAAATTTGAAAAGAGGGAGGATTAACATTGGCTAACACGAAAATGAAGCACAAATATATGGAAATAGGTTTTATGTACAGATTAATGAACATTATAGAACTCAGATCAAATTGTACCTGACTTGTTGCAGCAGTATACATCTTCTCCTCAAACCTTCCAGCAAGTTCTTGAATTCATTCGATCCCTCTTGACAAGAAAAAAGAGATGCCCTCTTCAGTTTATCCATACTATGCAGAATAAACCATAAGTGAGTTCTGACCTGTGCAAGTATTGTTCTTCCCAGAAAAACCTTATTTGGTAATCCATAATGAAATGTAACAACCGAACCATGAAAGAAATTTTTGCAAAAGCACCAACTTGAAACTAACCTTAATTTCCATAATTTTCAAAATAAAACCATAAATCTCATAACTTTGAATTTCAAACTGAAGTTTGCATTTTAATCCATTGATTGGCCCTACCAGCTAGTGGGTCCATTTTTCGTTCTCACGCCACAAATGTCCAAAAGAGTAAAAGAGGTAGCACAATAACTTGTGATAGAAGACACTAGCTTTGTTGATAGTCCCACTCACAATACACCCTAAATAGTAATAGTTTCTGATTCTCTTTTGTTAGTTTATTGAAAAATTTAGTTAGCCATATACATCCCTGCCACTAATAGTAATAAGAGCTAAACTTTCAAAGACAAATTGTAAAACTATAGTGGTTTTAAAGCAATGCTTATAGTGGAAGGTAAAAGACAGATACATACATCTTGTTGACATTCTTTGACGCGAACCAGGCGGCAGATGAGTTCTCCATTCACCTGCATCCATAATGGTTCTTCTGGCAGCGAGCAGCCCTAAAAAACTAACTCCCCAAGGAAAAATTGGTAAATATTAAAAAGAAAACAGATATCATTTAATGTTTAAATTAAACAGCAAACCGCTTTCCAACAAAAAAATTATTTAATTTTTTTGATAGGAAATGACACAATTATTAACAGATAATTAACTTAAAATCAAAACATATCTCCTTTCAGCAAAACGTTACATTGTGGGAAATTAAACCAAACATAGCCCAGATGTACTTTGTTCAATTTCAGGCAATGCCGAGCCAAAATAGTTAACAAATAGATCCAAACTTCCAACAATCAATATGGCTAAACTAGGCCACTGATAGCTTGGTCAAATTTGCTCCATCATATCATACTTAACCATAATACGGCAACTTGCAGCGGTAGGGTACTTTGATATTGAGGGAAAACTGAGAGAGAAGAAAGGAACAAAAGTTTTGTAGCAACTCTTGGTTCATTCTTACCTATAATCTATCTTGAAATTGTGGCCATAATTTTGGTGAGCAATCAATGTCATGGTTAAGTTCATTATTTCAACGCTGGAATAAAGCTTTCCAAGTAAACGCTTTGCCCACACTCACTTATTCATTACAAATTGAGATATTAGCACCAACTTCTTGGTTGTTCATCATTTTGGTCGATCTAAAATAGACAAAGTCTTTTTACACTATGACTAACAATTATTCACTCCGATACTCACCTCAATTTTCATCATAGACACCAAAGGGCATAACAATACATTCAAAATGCCATTTTGTCTGGTACTGATGTAGGACAGATTCCTTAGGTTTTGTCCTACTTCTCATGGCATGAAACAATTGATATAGCAAACCATTCTTCAAAGATCTAAGGATGAGGGCTGTAGTGATGCAACCACTATGGATTCATTCAACAAAATAATTCAAGCAATGTATGAGACTACTTTGGAGGACTAGATACATGTGGCAACAAGAAATTGGATAACGGTGTGGAGGGACAAATGATTCCTTTCTTTATGGTACGATGTTAGTGGTGCAGATTCCATGTTTTAACTACCAGCGATACCACTCCAAAGTCATACATAGGGCCCCTTTTGATTAAAACTAGGATCTATACCACTAGGCGATAGACCATCTATCTAACCTTCTATTCACTTACCTCAATCTTGTTGATACCTAATCTAGTCTTGCCAATGTATGATGTAAATTCTCAAAGAACTGTTCCTAAATGGCATTGCCAACAGGTTTCATCGCTCTGACCATGATGTAAACAATTTTCTACCTTCTTAACTGGTTTTCCTGATTTATTTGGTTTTCTATTTTATGTAGGGATATGTGATTTAAGATTGATTTCAGTTAGTTTTGGTTTTCTTGTTCATTACAATTTTATAATTTGTCTTTTTCAATATGCTTTATAATGTTTCGTGTGGAAATTATTTTTTCGTTGATTCAACTTTTTCTCATGGATTCAAGAAATCTCTTGTACACCTCTCATGATTTAAAAGTTACTGCTCAGGGATTGAGTGTTGTGTGGTGGTTGTAACTTTTACACTAGAATATATCTAGGGCTTATCAATTCCATAGGGTAAATTAAACCTTCCTCTATACTAGTTGTCAACTTGGAATTGATAAACACTAGATAAGCTTAGAGTGGTAGCATGAACCCATAAACAATGCTCATCCATAGCGATGACTCTCAAATCCATCGGAGGTTTTCCAACCCACAAGAATTAGTTAAGCACAATGAAATAATCACAAAGGAAAATTCATAACATTATTATTGAAAACCATGAAACAGTTTGTATAACCAATTTGTATTAGATATTCCTATTATGACTAGATAAGACAGATAACACATTTCCTAATTGAACTAAGAAACAAAATTTGACTAAATAAAATTTTCAAAATTTAATATTCTTAACTAAAACTAAATCAACTAGGAATACTAATATGATAAAAAATTGTCCCACATCATACCCTCATTCTCATATGTTCACCGCACAAGGTGTTTTATACCACAAAAGGTAAGAAAAAACCAGACTTTTTAATTCTTCATGGAGCAAAAGATTCAATAAAAGATAAAAGAAACAAAAGAATGAACTAAAAGTTTATTGGTAAATAACCAAATGTAAGACTATATATCTCATGTACCTACAAATACTCTCATTTGTACCAGATTTGAAAACCTAAAACATAAGGAGAAAAATATATAGAAAAGAGGATTTAACCTACTAATGCACGGTAACCTATGTTATAAGATAATATCATCTAACATAAAGACTGGATAAGACGGGTTTCAAATCTCTTAAGGAAAAATCTAATCTACCTCAAAAGCACCAAATTAGCGTGTTGAGGTGGTGCACACACACTAATCATTAGTTGAAAATTGAATCTCATTAAAATTCTCAGTTCATCCAGAATCAACTAATTTCTCTCTATTCATTAACAATTAGAATGACAACTTCTAATGAGATTAAAATTTGTCAGCTCATAATCGGTGTATGACACCTCCTCAGCATTTAGACTAGACTTTCTCTCAGGAAACTCTCCACATCAAATGCCATTCCATAACTAATGATCTTGTGGGCCTTTAGCCATCATTCTCCAATCCAAGCAATTATCAGAACACGGCTTTTACGCAGTCTTTGGAAACAATATCTACAGTTGGTTAGATCTAACTTTCTCAGTTTAAAAATTTCTCATCTAAGACCCTGGAAGGAGTTTCCATTAAAACTCAATGCATAAGATCTAACCTCAGAGCACTCGGTAATAAATAAAGACCCTTGTATAAATTTAAATCCATCATTTCCCGAAGCTCATCCTCGCTACTTACCTTTTGGGTAAAAAGACTTCCAGAGCCATAGTAAAAAAAAAAAAAAAAAAAAAAAAAACTGCTTGTTTCGTAGGAAAACTTTGGTATTCCGGGAAAAATTGGAACTTTAGCCTTGCAAATACCCCTAAACAAGAATATCTGAAACTCAAACTAAAATACGAATACCCAGATAGAAAAAAAATACAAGAAAACGTTTTTACGCAAACATTTGTGTAAAAAAAAGAACACAGATCTAAATTAAGAGTACCTGATCATGGTTAGCGGTTGAAGGGGATAGTTTGGTAATTCTTTTAGACTTCTCACTGAGAGAAAAAGGCTTTCTTGATATTCCCATCCTTGTTTGATTTGTTTTATCGGAGAGGAGACTGAACGAAGAAGAAGAAAAAATAAACAGAGAGCTTTCTACAAAATGTTATCTCGTTAAGACTTGGATAAATTCCTTTTCTTTATTATATTTTGGGGACACTTATTGCAACTCTCGTAGTTTCAAACTTAACAAAAGCACCCTGGAAAATGGAGGTTTATTATTTACTTATAAACACCTTTTTCTAATATAACCACTATTAAAACTTTAAAAACAATGTTTTTTATCATATATTTCAAGGGTGTTTTAGTTGGGTTAGAATGTTATAATCTTAATTAGTTTCTAATTTCACTAATCCTAAATTGTTTTCTTGGATAATTAGGATGATTAAAATCTAAAAGCAAGAAAAATTCTTAAAACATAATGACCAATGCATTGAATAATTAAAAAAGTTTTACCATCAGGTGCCCCATTTTGATTACAATATTTGATCCATGTTGGCGATTGTTGTATCATGGTTGGATTTTAAATTAAATTAAATCGTCATTTATTTTGACAGGAGCTCAAGCAATTCTGAACATCTTTGGAACTGAAAAAAACAAAAATAAATAAATAAACTTTAGAAGGGAGACGGTATTATTAGTAAAACCTGTAAAAATTATTATTACCCCAATAGTTTACAAAACCTGTGAAAACCTCCCTGGAATATCATGGCTGATGTTAAAGTGAATAAATTTTTGTCCTAACTTGATTTCTTATCTATTTTTGAGTATTATTGTTTCCATATAAAGTTTTATTAACTAGAAAAAGAGTTTTTTTTTTTCATCTGCATCTTATTGTGCATGTTAGATCGTTTTTAAAAGCAAGTAGGAGATTGCATTGCTGAAATCTCATTTGAATATAGAGTTTGAAATTTAAGATTCGTAGGAAACCAAGAAGCTTCTTGGCATGAAGATTTGGAGAAAGAGTGAAATGCAAGACTAATTTGACATCAAAAGCAGCAATTCAACCACCGGTGGTCAAGTGAGGAGATAGAGATTCTTAGATATAATATTTAAGAGATTTTGAGTTCGATTTCTCTCAGTTACTAATAGAGGTGGTCATTAAAGAGTTTACTCAGTCGTTAACTTCAAAATCCCGAAAGATTAGCCCAGATGCTTGCAAGTTGGCTCACAAAAAAAAAAAAAAAAAAAAAAAAAAATTGCAAGGATTCTATATAAATGAGGAGGAGAAAACGACTGTTCCCACCCAAGGTTTAGCGAAAACCTAAGTTGCCACCCCTAGTTTCATAAACTCTATAATCCCTCCCTTAAATTAACGCAAAACGTTTAGTTTAATAGACAAAGGGTAAAATGATTACTCATGCTGCAATAAATCTGAAATTAAAATAAAAATTTCAAAACAACCCTCCATATCTTAAATTTATCTCAGAAGCACTCTCTCTCTAACATTTCTCTCATGGCGGCCAGACTTGACCTTTGCATGGGCCAACAAGCAGCGGCCAAATGGCTACTTCTTGGCCCTCGTGGTGGCCAAAATTTGGCTGCCGTGTGAGGGCCTTGTGGCCGCAAAATTCAGTCGCCATGAGGCCCTCATCCAATGTCCAAAATCTGGCCACCGCGAGGGCCAAGAAGCAGCAGCCAAATGGTTGCTTCATGGCCCTCATGGTGGCTAGATTTTAGCACCATAGCCTGCGGTGGTGGGAGTTTTAGAGAGGGGATGCCGATGGATCAAAGGGAGGTGTCGGGGTAGGTTTTCCTTACTAGAATTGGTCGAAAATTGGCAAGAAGCGCACAATTCCACTAAGTGGCGACCAACAATTTGGTGGTGTTGAGGGTTGGAGATGATAGGGGTTTTGATGAGGGAGGTGAGGGGATGTGTTTAGTGGTGTCGAGGCGTTCCAAAGACATCAGAATCAAGCCAATTTGGCCGGAAAACGACGATCGCAAGGCAGTGGAGGTCACAAGTTGGCAGCATAAATCCAATGCAATTGGGCCAAATTTTGGTCAAAAGGGGGTTGGGCGAGTGATTTTTGTTGGGTTTGGTGGATTTTCCGGCAAGGAAGCAGCCAAAATGGCCGTCGGAATTTATGAATCCATGGTTGGGTTTTGTCATGCGCAATAGGGTAATAGCACTCAGCAGTCATTTACTCAATAAGTGCCCACTTGCTCTTCATTTTAGACCTAGTGCAGCTTCTCCAACACTGAAATGGAATGTGGGGCAACACCACCATACTAAACGAATACCCAGATAGAAAAAATACAAGAAAACGTTTTAACGCAAACATTTGTGTAAAAAAAAGAACACAGATCTAAATTAAGAGTACCTGATCATGGTTAGCGGTTGAAGGGGATGTTTGGTAATTCTTTTAGATTCTCACTGAGAGAAAAGGCTTTCTTGATATTCCCATCCTTGTTTGATTTGTTTTATCGGAGAGGAGACTGAAGCGAAGAAGAAGAAGAAAATAAACAGAGAGCTTTCTAAAAAATGTTATCTCGTTAAGACTTGATAAATTCCTTTTCTTTATATATTTTGAAGGGACACTTATTCAACTCTCGTAGTTTCAAACTTAACAAAAGCACCCTGGAAAATGAGGTTTATTATATTACTATTAAACACCTTTTTCTAAATATAACAACTATAAAACTTTAAAAACAATGTTTTTATTCATATATTTCAAGGGTGTTTTGTTGGGTTAGAATGTTATATCTTAATTAGTTTCTAAATTTCACTAATCCTAATTGTTTTCTTGGATAAATTAGGAGGATAAATCTAAACAAGAAGAATTCTTAAAACAATAAGACCATGCATTGAATAATTAAAAGTTTTACCCAACGCTGGAATAAAGCTTTCCAAGTAAACGCTTTGCCCACACTACACTTATTCATTAACAAATTGAGATATTAGCACCAACTTCTTGGTTGTTCATCATTTTGGTCGATCTAAAATAGACAAAGTCTTTTTACACTATGACTAACAATTATTCACTCCGATACTCACCTCAAATATTCATCATAGACACCAAAGGGCATAACAATACATTCAAAATGCCATTTTGTACTGGTACTGATGTAGGACAGATTCCTTAGGTTTTGTCCTACTTCTCATGGCATGAAACAATTGATATAGCAACCATTCTTCAAAGATCTAAGGATGAGGGCTGTAGTGATGCAACCACTATGGAAGTCATTCAACAAAATAATTCAAGCAATGTATGAGACTACTTTGGAGGACTAGATACATGTGGCAACAAGAAATTGGGATAACGGTGTGGAGGGACAAATGAGTCCTTTCTTTATGCTACGATGTTAGCGGTGCAGATTCCATGTTTTAACATACCAGCGATACCACCCCAAAGTCATATATAGGACCCCTTTTGATTAAAACTAGGATCTATACCACTAGGCGATAGACCATCTATCTAACCTTCTATTCACTTACCTCAAATCTTGTTGCTACCTATATCTAGTCTTGCCAATGTATGATGTAAATTCTCAAAGAACTAGTTCCTAAATGGCATTGCCAACAGGTTTCATCGCTCTGACCATGATGTAAACAATTTTCTACCTTCTTAACTGGTTTTCCTGATTTGATTTGGTTTTCTATTTTATGTAGGGATATGTGATTTAAAAAGATTGATTTCAGTTAGTTTTGGTTTTCTTGTTCATTACGAATTTTATAATTTGTCTTTTTCAATAATGCTTTATAATGTTTCGTGTGGAAATTATTTTTTCGTTGATTCAACTTTTTTCTCATGGATTCAAGAAATCTCTTGTACACCTCTCATGGATTTAAAAGTTACCACTAAGGGAATTGAGTGTTGTTTGTGGGTTGTAACTTTTACGCTAGAATATATCTAGGGCTTATCAACTCCATAGGTAAATTAAACCTTCCTCTAATACTAATTGTCAAACTTGGAATTGATAAACACTAGATAAGCTTTAGAGTGGTAGCATGAACCCATAAACAATGCTCGAATCCATAAGCGATGACTCTCAAATCCATCGGAGGTTTTCCAACCCACAAGAAATGATGTTAAAGCACAATGAAATAATTCACAAAGGAAAATTCATAACATTATTATTGAAAACCATGAAACAGTTTGTAATAAGCCAATTTGTATTAGATTATTCCTATTATGACTAGAATAAGACAGATAACACATTTCCTAATTGAACTAAGAAAACCAAATTTGACTAAAATCAAATTTTCAAAATTTAATATTCTTAACTAAAACTAAATCAACTAGGAAACTAACTAATATGATAAAAAAAATTGTCCCACATCATACCCTCATTCTCATATGTTCACCGCACAAGGATGTTTATACGCACAAAAGGTAAGAAAAAACCAGACTTTTTAATTACTTCATGGAGCAAAAAGATTCAATAAAAGATAAAAGAAACAAAAAGAATGAAATAAAAGTTTATTGGTAAGATAACCAAGATGTAAGACTAATGATATCTCATGTACCTACAAATACTCTCATTTGTACCAGACTTGAAAACCTAAAACATAAGGAGAAGAAAATATAATAGAAAAAAGAGGATTTAACCTACTAATGCACGGTAAACTATGTTATAAGAATAATTAATAAGCTAACATAAAGTAAACTGGATAAAACGGGTTTCAAAATCTCTTAAGGAAAAATCTAATCTACCTCAAAAGCACCAAATTAGCGTGTTGAGGTGGTGCTACACACACTAATCATTATTTGAAAATTGTGAAATCTCATTAAAATTCTCAGTTCATCCAGAATCAACTAATTTCTCTCTATTCATTAACATATTAGAATGACAACTTCTAATGAGATTAAAAGTTGTCAGCTCATAATCGGTGTATGACACCTCCTCAGCATTTAGACTAGACTTTCTCTCAGGAAACTCTTCCACATCAAATGCCATTCCATAACTAATGATCTTGTGGGCCTTTTAGCCATCATTCTCCAATCCAAGCAATTATCAGAACACAGGCTTTTACCGCAGTCTTTGGAAACAAATATCTACAGTTGGTTAGATCTAACTTTCTCAGTTTAAAAATTTCTCATCTAAGACCCTGGAAGGAGTTTCCATTAAAACTCAATGCATAAGATCTAAACCTCAGAGCACTCGGTAATAAAA